GTTTCCGACCCATCACCCACAGATCCCCGAACCTTCCCTAGAGGGCTGCGAGGAAGATGTTACGATGCTTCCACCTTCAACATAAAAATGCATAAAACTCAAGTCGCGACGGGTTCCGTAGACCTGACTTGGGTTTTCACCCAATCTGTATTCATGGCATTGAATACTGTACTATGGTCTCTTTCTTATCCTTCGATTCGACAGGAGCATACCATCGACGAAGTTAAAGGCTATATTGCCGTTGCCCTAGACATAATCATCGTGAGTGCAGAGCGATGGCCAGGGGTGGAATCTGCCCTCCAACTTTATAGAAACCTTATTGCGGGCTGTCTCAGGGCTTATGGCAGCGATGAATCTTACGTGGTGAAGTCTCCATCCAACCGTCCCTCTCCTTCCTCGTCGCAAGAAGCTACGACCCCTCCAGCTCTATCCAGTCCCTGTAGCGATGCTACCATATCTGTCACCTCATCTCGCCATACAACAATCGGAGAACGTGTAAAACCTGACCCATTCCCGTCACTCTCCCGAGCAAATCCCAACCTCGTTAATCCTCCACAGCCATATCCAATTTGTGTAGATCGAAACCCATCACCTGGTTCATCAGAAGCGACTACTTCGCCAGCACCCTTCATATCACAGACCAAATACCAACAGCCAACCCAGCCCATGGAGCCGGTGGTAACGACATCCTACTCACCTCCAGCTGCCAACTCTGGTGACCCAGCATTTGATCCGAATTCCCTATATAATCATTTTCCTTCTGTGCTCCCAGGCTTACAGCACTGGGATCCGAATTATACTGCAGCATCGACTACAGCGGGCTATCTCTCCTATTCCAATGCCAACGTTGACCCATTGTTCTGGCTGGGATCTATTGGGGACCAGTACTCCCAATTCTTCAACCAGCAATACCCCACAGATGTTCGGGGACGAAGCTTAACCCAAGAAGAACATATGGAGCTAATGGCAAATTTGGTCCAGAACCCCCCAGACGCTTCATGCCGCAGTAATGAGCCAATGGCATACTACAGTTGTGACATGCCGTAAAGTCCCCCCTCTCTCTGCGTGTGCGATTTTCCCCTCGCGTGATAGCCTTGATTATTAGGGTGGTGTAATATGTACTGTACAAAATAAAATCTTGGCCTTATTATTATTAAAAGGTTGGAATAACAGGATCTTTTGCGTATGTTGCGTGTAGTTCGACGTCGCATTACAGCGAACTGTGAAAAACATAGACACTCGTGATCACTTTATTTGACATACTAGTATTTTTCATTCATTTCGATCCGTGGAGTGCCATATCCTTTTCTAGTCATCGTTTATTTTATATCCTTGGCTATGAGTTAAGCCTGCAATGAGGCGTGAGGGGAGACAGCCACATCTAGATGCCGGGCCATTTGAGCTCAGATATTAGCTGACTGGATACATGAGCCAGGTCCTCGACGGATGACCCTACGAGTCCTCGAGTGGAGGCAATACTGGTTGAGATATTCCATGTGTTTATTTGTTGGATTCTTGTATTGATGGTTACTAATTCTAGGCGTTTTAATTCCTTCAATCAACTCCTCTGTAAGGGCTATGGTGGAGATGCAATGAATTCGATT